AGATAGGAAAAATATAGTATATAAAAAAAGAGTATCTTAACAATTGAGAATGTTGTAAAGAACATTTCAACTATTTTCTATTTTCTTAAATAGATAAATTTTATTATGAGGTGAATTTGTTTTGATGTAGGTTTCCATAATAGAATCTTTCTATTTTCACAAAAAAAATATAGATGAATGCTATTTTTCTTACTTTTAAATATTATTTCTATATTTTTCATAAAAAAATAGGAAACTATTTTGTAAATATTTATTACATTAAATCAAAATTCCCTTACTAGAGTAAAATATAGAGATTTAGTCTACCAAAAATAAAAAAATCAAGAGTTGGTCAATAATAGAAATAAATAAAATAAAAAGAGAGAAACAAAAAACAATAAAATAATCAAATCCGTCTAGTGGATAGATAGAGCAAGAGCCAACGAAGAGAGTCTCTCAAACCACACGGCGGCGACGGAAAGAAAGGAGGAGATTCAAATTCTGGTAACCTTCGAATCATCTCCCTATCTCTTTCTACTAGCATTCCTTTCGTTCATTGTATTCTTAAAATGTTGGATTCGATCGTTCTCTGTCTCTAAGCGTCAATGGAGTCCACCGAGTCATATCCCCCGGAAGAGCTTACCAACAACAGATCTCCCGAACCTTCCGAATCTGGTAATATCCGATCCGATCTAGCTAAACCGTGAATCGGATCCGTATTTATGTGAATGAGGATGATTGCTTATCTCTTTTTTGACTTTTTTTTTTTAGATTCTGTGGAGAAGCCAACGCACATTAGGTTTCTTGTATCGAATGCGGCTGCAGGATCCGTCATTGGGAAAGGAGGCTCCACAATCACTGAGTTTCAGGCTAAGTCCGGGGCAAGGATCCAGCTCTCACGTAACCAAGAGTTTTTCCCTGGGACGACTGATAGAATTATTATGATATCTGGATCGAGTAAAGATGTTGTTACTGGACTTGAACTTATTCTTGATAAATTGCATAGTGAGGTAGTTAGATTCAATTTTGTTTTTTGTGTTTTAAGTCACAATTATGAGAGTTTTTGAGTTTTTTTTTTTTTTTTTAATTTGTTTTGTTTAGCTTCATGCTGAAGATGGTAGTGATGTTGAGCCTAGGAGAAGACTGAGACTTGTGGTTCCTAACAGTTCTTGTGGTGGTATTATTGGTAAAGGAGGTGCCACTATTAAGTAAGTTTGTATCTGTTTGCATTTTTTTCCATGCTTTGAGTGTAGACTTTGTAACATGTGCAGAGAGGTTTCTGGATATTAGAGCTGACTTAGTTTGAAGTATTAGGGTTTAAGTTGTTGAATTGTATTTTTTTGTTTTGTTTTGGCGGTCAGCGTCGACCAATGGTTAAAAAGTTTGTTTCTTTTGACACAGGTCGTTTATTGAGGAATCTAAAGCTGGTATTAAGATATCTCCTCTGGATAATACCTACTATGGGTTGAGTGATAGGCTAGTTACATTATCTGGAACCTTCGAGGAGCAGATGCGGGCTATTGATTTGATTTTGGCTAAGCTTACTGAGGACGATCATTACTCCCAGAATGTACATTCCCCATATTCGTATGCAGGTATATCAGCTCACTACTAGCTTGGTTAGGTTTGTTAGAGTCATGTGGACAATCTAAGTGTGTTTGGTTAGAGTAGGATTTTCTAATGAATTTTAGATTGTTCAGCTTTCATCCACATGGAAAATCATGTTTATTTGAGGACTCTGTATGATGCTTGTCTGTTGTTTAGGCTTTTTGTCTTGTAAGTTCCTTTTAACTCGGCATTTTAGGTCTTTTCAACTCTGGTTTTCATGGTCACGCATATGCGTATGTGCTTCCTTCTGTAGCAACAGCGGGATACAATTCAGTGAACTACGCACCCAATGGCGCTGGAGGCAAGTATCAAAACCACAGGGTTAGTCTCTTTTTGCTTTGCACCCTCTTCCACCCTATCTATGCATTTATATGAAAGAATCTCACTGTTACTTCTATGGATGATAGTGTGGTGTTATCAATTTGCAGATATATGAATGAATGTTGTGGTCTTTCTGTTTTTTACCATTTCTTAAGCTGTGTGTTTCGGTACATATTACAGGAAGAAGCTAGTACAACGGTGACAATCGGTGTGTCGGATGAGCATATAGGATTGGTCCTTGGCCGTGGAGGAAGAAACATCATGGAAATCACTCAGATGACCGGTGCCCGTATAAAAATATCAGACCGAGGCGATTTCATGTCTGGAACCACTGATAGGTAAAAAGCTAACATTATTGGGAGGAGTTATAACAGAACAGTGTGTTAAATACCTCTCATGTCTAAACCTTGTTTAAATTGACAGGAAAGTGAGTATCTCAGGGTCACAGAGAGCAATCCAACAAGCTGAGACAATGATAAAACAGAAAGTTGATTCAGCCTTAGAGAGAGCCACTGAATAGTATCCATCATTGGTTCCTATCTCTGGTCTGTTTTAATTTATTGGTTCTCTCTAGGAACTTTGTTTCTTCGTTGGTTTTTTTTTGGGTCTTGACATTATACAATGTTTGTTTGGAGTTAGAAGCACTATTTAAATTTGTTTCTAAAATAACTTTATTTCATTTTGTGGAAGTTTTGTTTCCCTTGAGTTCTTTCTGTTGTAACAACCATATACACATTGCATTTGCTTCTTTCATATAGTTTTGGTATTATTATTAGTATTTAAGTTTTTGAGATAAACTATAAATTTATTTTGTAATCTTGGAGATGAGTTTTTGTACCTATTGAAAATATTCAAAAAATATTGCTCGACTACCAAATAAAATCTTTAACAACAATTCTCGACAGGAATATCATTTCAGTATGAAAGGCTTTAAAACAGTGTCTCCAACAGTGATAACTAACAAAGGATCAAATGATACTAAAGAAGGCCGTTATGTTCTTATTTCTAGAATCTAAATCTAGAAACTGTAAAGAGAATTCAAACTATTTTGGGCAGCAAAGCACTGCCAGAGTGAAGTCTACATAATTAGAGAGATACAAACGCTGAGAAAGAGTTTTTCTCAATACGATTCAACTTTTTGATGCTATCACCGAGTAGAGACTATGTTTCCTATTTTGAAGCTAACAGAGAGTAAGAGAATCCAAAAACACATGAAGATCAATACAGCTCTTGTCGCTGTAATTCCTCCAGCCTTGCTTCTAGAGGAACTCATCTCATCATCTTGTTGGACCAAGCCGAAAGAAAGGACTATGTTGAGGTTACAGTTCTTGTCATATGACCAGCACATAGCCACATACTGCTATCCGCTGCTAGAGTCATGTTTGATATTCTCATCATACCTGCAGTAACGTGAACTGAACCTGAAGATTGCGCCGCGTGTAGCCTGATTGCAGCGTCCTTTGTTTGGAACTGGGACGAAGCAAATGAAGGTGGAGCAAACATGTGACTCGCCTTTTTGAGGAACGGGTGGGTACTCTGAAGCTGCAGGATTTAGTTTCAGAAGAGTTAGAATCAATCATCAAAGGGTTTATTTGACGAGGAAATGTATGAAGATCTCTGAGTGTTACCTGAATCGAAGTCCGTCACATCTGCATCTAGTTTAGAAGAAGATCCTTCGCCACTTTCCTTTTTCTCCAATTCTTCAGGTGAAGGCTGCTGGTGTATGAGTAAGTTAGAAAGAACTCAACATATAGAAAAACTAAGTAAGTCAAAGGCAAGACTATTTACTTTCTGGTCGAGTCCTTCTTGGTTAGGAAGAGCATCTTGAGATCCCAACAATTGAGAAACATCAAGAGACTGAGTATCCTCATCCTCCAAGAGGTTAAGATAATCTTCAAAGTTAAAATCATCTTGTAGACCACCGCTGAGATCTTTCGTTTCCAGATAAAGACCATCACTGAGTGGAAGATTGTTGCTATGATCGATGAATGGCTCGTCAGGCATGTAGTTGGCATCATCAATAGGAATGTCACTGTAGCAAGCATCAGCCACAAACACATTATCGCTGGAAGCTTCGAGATTCACCGCGTTCTCATCTTGCACACCATCCGGAAGCAGAGAACAAGGCTGAATGCTACCATCCCGGATAATAGGCTTCTGATCCTCCTCAAAAGTTTCATTTCGTTGTTCAAAGTAACCACCACATTCAACAACATAGTTTCCTGGTTGAATGTAATTTCCAGAGTCTGAGTTGTTTCCTGACTCAACATTATTGCTTGATTCTCCATGACAATAATTAGTCTGAACAGGAATGGCCTCATAGACCACCAGATTTTCAGGCTTCTGCAAAACAAAAGCAGGATTCAGACGTTCACACAAAAGAAATGCCATGAATGAATGTTAACCATAAGATAATTTAGAAGTGTATGTTATCATCATCAATAAGCTACTAGTAAATAAGCCAAAATCTAAACTAACACACACACATCCCTAATCAACAATCTAAACAGGTACCACGTTCCATATCTGTAACCACATCACTTATAACTCTTTAGCACATGCCAAATTACACACTGTGTTTCTATACATTAATCGTAAAACGCTAAAGTAACTAGTTAATAGAAACCCTGGTCAATGTCGAGACAAACCTCATCATCATCAGCCAATCCATCACTACGAGCATCTTGTTTTGGTACAAAAGTCATTGTATCCTCTTCCCACTCCTCTTCAACATATGGAGCACCATACTGCTCCCCATTCTTAGGCCCCGTGCCACTCTTCCGAAATATCCTACACAGCACAAACGCATCCTACATACACAACAAACTCAACAACTTTTGATCCATTATCACAACTTTCATAACAAACCCAAAAGTATCTTCTTACTAGTGGGGCACAAGCAATCTTCAACTCATCATCAGTAAGCCTATACTCATGCATAACCCAATTACTCCTCTCGCCACGTGGAGCACGACCCTTATTATAAAACAAGAGTCTTCTTCATCCCAACACACCTTGACAACCCATTACGAATCTCCCTATCTTTCCCTGTAGTCTTCCAATAGCCTCTCTCAGTAGCACGATTCGTCTTGGAACCGTTACTGTACTTCTTATCAAGCAAACTAAAGAAGTACCACTCCAAGTCTCTACTTTTCAGCTATTAAAAACAAAATTCAAATCGAATTGAAGCTAAAAAAAAAAAAACACTGAGAGAAAGAAGGAAGAATTAACCTGGTAGATCCCAAGGCTCGGATTTGTAGACATCGGTGACGGAAACGGAAGCCAGGAGCGAGTGACGTGGCTGAGCCGCGACCCATTTGATCGGTGAGGAAGAAAGCTCGAAGCTTTATGGAATTAAGGGGGAGAGATTCGGATCATTTAGATTGCGGAAAATTAGGGTTTTCAGAAGAATGAAAAAATGAGAAACTGAGAGGGAGGTGATCACTGAAGCAACCATGCTCTATTTTATAATTACGACATTATTTTGTATAATTCACTTTTAGTTATTGGTTTCTATTATTAGCTGTTTTTTATACACTTTATAAAGTATTTGAAAAGATTAATACAGTATTTTTTTATATCAGATTTATAGCATATATATATATCAAATAGTTGGTGAATTAAAATATATTTTCTGAGGTTTGAAAAAATATATGATGTTTAAGAGAATTTTTGATGTTCTAATATGTAAAATATTTTCATATAAGTTTTATTTTATTAAAAACTTTGTAATCGGTAATATTTTATACGTTTTTGAAATTTTTATTTTAAGGATACCTTTAAATAATATTAATTGAAAACATTATACATTTTAGAACAAATGGAGTATTATTCAAACGACTAAACATATTTGTTTATATTTGAGAATGGGCAATTGACCAAAATAGCCCATTTCAAGTTTTTATCACAAAAAGAGCCTCAGAAGGGAAAAGTCACAAATAGAACCTTCATTAAAGAGAGAAATGTCCACACTGCCCTTGTTTTGTGTTTAACAAAAAAAGCTTCCAAAAAAAAAAACACATTTCTTAGGGCTTTCTCTTCTCTTCGACGACGATTCTCTTCCGTCGCCTCCAATCTCGCTCTTCCGTCGGCTCCAGTCTCGCTCTTCCGTCGGCTCCAATCTCGCTCTATCATCTCCGACGAAGCCCCAGGAAGGTTCGACGACGCAATTTCGGTACGATTTTTCTTAGGCTATTTCGGTACGATTTTTAAGGATTTTGATTTGTTGTTCATACTTTTGTTGTTCGCGTCCTTTTATTTTAGTGTGTGATGGTGCTTTAGTTCTCTTGTTCCTCTAATAGTTATGATTTTTCCTAGTTAAGAATACACAAAAGTTATAGCTTTTTCTTGTTTTGGATAATCATGAGTGTATTGTGTTCACT